CGGGTTTTCGAACATGTTGGCTCGACAAAAGACGTGCGACCGTACAGTAGAAACGGTCGCACGTCTTAGTTCACACTGCTCGATTCTCGTACGATCGCGGGATTTCGCCCGATTCTCGTACGAGAATCGAGCAGTGTATGGGCACCTTAACCCAACGTAAAAGTGTTTATTGTGATTTTTGTAAACCTTTGAGGATGAATTACTTTACAGAATATGCAGCTAGAAAGGTCAGTGATGGCTTGTTTTTAATGCTTTCTAAGAATATGTAAAACATTAATGTGCATCGTCTAGGCATAGGTCCAGTTTAAAAATAACTGCATGTTACCAGATATCAGAATTAATCCTACTTTAAATCAATGTAATAAATATCAGAAACAAACACATTCTTACCTCATTGCATGTTTTCATCTGTTGTTCTGGAGTAATAATGAAGTTAGTCATCACAACAAAAGAGCTGTCTCCCTGTGGAATAATCAGACATAATACTTCTTTATCAGTATGTAGAAGCTTCCAGTAGCTCAAAGCTGTTAGTAATTTAGAAGGAATGTAAACTGAACTCAAGTTTGACCTTAGCATTTAATGGATTGGCACTGCTAGAAAGTTTTTTCACTTAGTTTAGCTATGGAGGTTTTGTATAAGTAAGGAGGCCTCTCAGTGTATGTGGGAATTTAGACTTCTCTTTAGATTTCTCTTCTCCTGTGTCCCATCTCAGACAAGACCTAAAGGTGACAGGGTCATTTTCGAAAATAAAAAACTTAAATAATAAATAATTTTTTTACTTTTTAAAGGAGAACTATGGGGTCAGGGCTTTTCCCCATAGTTATCCTTAGGGTAACGGGAGGACACAAACTAGCGTCCTCCCGTCACCCTAAGCTTAGTATACCGAGACGACGGAGCGGATCCCGACATTGATGTCGAGATCCGCCCAGCTGTGTGAGTGACAGCTGGCTCTGCCTATCTAGAGGCAGAGCCAGCTGTACCCGCCCCCTCCCCCATCTGTTCCGCCAGTCAGCGCTGGCAGATCGGAGTGGTGAGGGGGAATCCAGTCCCTCCCCTGCCACGGCAGAGAGCCGTGACAGGATCGAGAAGTGAGCGAACACCGGTATGTGTTCGCTCACCTCCCGATCTACTGAGCCGACCTGTGACAGTCTCATTGTCACAGGTCGGCTAGAACTATGAGGTGAGTGAAAAGCACTCACCTCATAGTTCTCCTTTTAATATTAATGATTTTTAATATTTTTTATGATAACCTTGTTTGTAAAAATTGACCTCACTTTCTGTTCACATTAAAGAGCAGGACAAGAGGATACAAAAAGTAATATTAACCTGACAGAGACAATAAAGAAAACGTTTTCGCTGGAGTTGGCCTTCAAAGTGTATGTATTGCCAAAACTTTGGGTATTTTTTTCACTTTCAATGTAGGAAAATAAAAACCCAGTCAGTCTGTTTTTTACTGCCATTGTCACATATACGGTAGGACATTTCCTTTAAAGGAGAACTATGGGGTCAGTGCTTTTCCCCATAGTTCTCCTTAGGGTAACGGGAGGACACAAACTAGCGTCCTCCCGTTACCCTAAGCTCAGTATACCGCGAGCTACAGTTCGCGGTATACTGAGATGCCGCAGCCGGAGCGGATCCCGACGTAGATGACGGGATCCGCCCAGCTGCGTGAGTGACAGCTGGCTCTGCCTATCTAGAGGCAGAGCCAGCTGTACCCGCTCCCTCCCCCGTCCGTTCCGCCAGTCAGCCAGTCAGCGGAGCGAATCTGGTATGTGTTCGCTCACCTCCCGATCTACTGAGCCGACCTGTGACAGTCTCATTGTCACAGGTCGGCTAGAACTATGAGGTGAGTGGAAATCACTCATCTCATAGTTCTCCTTTAGTGTCCGGTTCAAGAAATGCAATAGGAAGTAAAAGGAAATCTCTACAAAGTGAGGGGAATTCCCTTCTTTGACATGGGACTGGGTAGCCCTATTGGGAGATGTCACTTTACCTCTTGTTACAGTGACAACTATAACATTTGGGATTTTCCAGCACTTTCTGTCCTGATGATAATATTTGCCACAACAAATACAGTAAAGAATGTGAATATTCCAAATGGGGACAGAACATTAACACCTTGGCATGGGTTGCAATTCCTCCCCCATGCTATCTAAAACTAAAAACATAGTTTTGGTTACACATGCATGGTAAGTAAAAATCAAAGTATGGTATTGCTATGACAACTGATATAGAGATCTAGCATGTTTAAACATGTAAATTATATTTTCACAAACAATTAAAGGGCCAGCCAACCCAGAACTGATGTTTCAGTCATTGGTAACTGTCTGAGAGTAAAATTACCTGACAATTTCTTATATCTCTCTCTATAGGGGCTCTATGGGTCACATAACTGTCCTTTATTCTCTGAGGTTGTACACCTACCATGCATATTATATTGGATTACAACTCTCTCTGCTTGTTTTATTATTCATGGTATGTTAGGGAAAATGCCACGGGATATACGTAAAGAGGACTAGAACACCAAACCCGCAGGAAAGCAGAAGAAAAGTCGTGGAAGGTGATTGTGCTACTGGAGTACCCAAGACATAAAGAAAGCCAGGGGTTGACTTAATCCACCAGGCTCCACCTATAGATGAAATAAACCTTTTTGGGGGGCTGGCTTTTTAATATCATAGAACAATGACCATAATATACAGTTAAAGGAAAACTATGGGGTCAGTGTTTTTCCCCATAGTTCTCCTTAGGGTAACGGGAGGACACAAACTAGCGTCCTCCCGTTACCCTAAGCTCAGTATACCGCGAGCTACAGCTCGCGGTATACTGAGACGCCGGAGCGGATCCCGACGTAGATGACGGGATCCGCCCAGCTGCGTGAGTGACAGCTGGCTCTGCCTACCTAGAGGCAGAGCCAGCTGTACCCGCCCCCTCCCCCATCCGTTCCGTCAGTCAGCGCTGGCAGATCGGAGCGGGGAGAGGGGAATCCAGCCCTCCCCCTGTCACGGCAGAGTTCGCTCACCTCCCGATCTACTGAGCCGACCTGTGACAGTCTCATTGTCACAGGTCGGCTAGAACTATGAGGTCAGTGAAAAGCACTCACCTCATAGTTCTCCTTTAACCAATGCCAAACAATCACAATTCAACTTTCAGAAGCATAATATGGACAGACCAAAAAATATATATATTTTTTTAAATTGTTGATATTGATTACTATAATTTACACAGTTTTATCATCCTTTATAAGGTGTACCTGTGCTTTTCCCATGCGCTGCACATTGGGATGGGAAGAGCTCTGTGTAAACTAACTCTGACTATGATTGCTTTGGAACTCACACTTTTTCTCCTCCCTTTCATGAGCAAACAAATTGATGGGGGAGTGAAGGGAATGTATTTTGTTGAATTTATGATGTTAGATGTTATAAGTTTTCAAGATTTCTGACTTGATCAACAGGAATTTTTCTAATTTATCAAACTGGTGTATCAAAAATGCTTTCAATGGTGTTTTTAAAAGACCAAAAGAGAGCAAATATTACATTTTTGTTTTAGAGTTTAGACACGCCATTATATTTTTTAGACTGTCGGAGAAATGTACTCACCCTAGTGTATTACATTCTTAGATTACAATCACACATTGCACAATCACAAAAAAATGCTTTATGCCTATCATGACATTTAATCTTTAATTTACCACAAAAAGGAAGTTAAATAACGGCTTGTCAGTTTTTCTTGAATGCGTAATAAGTTAAAGTCTGGTATAAAAATAAGAAACATAATAAGGTACAATAAAAAATTTAGTCATTAAAGTGTAAGTGCTGCCACATATGAAAAACCCCACTTAATTAATTTATGTATTTACTAAAAGATCCCTTGTACATTGGGACTGGAAATGGAAGGTACAACGATGCGGTTCAGTTACTCTTTACAGAATTGCAGAGTGCTATGAATCTAAGGAATGGAGCTTGCTAATTGGGTGATAGAGCACAAATATGACCTCATCATTAGGCTGCTGCCTATTTACTATCTAATCCCAGCCTTGCCTTATCTGTAGTACTTTTGCTGTAGAAGAGAATAGTGAATGATTTAGAAATGGGCTTAATGTCTGGTGGGGTGCCTCAATTAGAAAACTGAATGAACAGAATTTTATTTTTTACATGTTTTTGATAAAAAAGGTTATTATTTAAAGGAGAACTATGAGGTGAGTGCTTATCACTCACCTTATAGTTCTAGCCGACCTGTGACAATGAGACTGTCACAGGTCAGCTCAGTAGATCTGGGGGTGAGCGAACACATACCGGCGTTCGCTCACCTCACGATCCTGTCACGGCTCTCTGCCGTGACAGGGGAGGGGCTGGATTCCCCCCCGCTCCGATCCGCCAGCGCTGTATACAGCTCGCGGTATACTGAGCCTAGGGTGATGGGAGGACGCTAGTTTGTGTCCTCCCGTTACCCTAAGGGGAACTATGGGGAAAAGCCCTAACCCCATAGTTCTTTAAAATAATCCTTTTACATTTTACCATCAATGTCATGTGGCACAATGTAGAAAGCAGAAATCACCAGCACTCAATAAGTAATTTTCAAATGGTAGACGTCCATTTAATCGGACATAGCGTCACAAAGGAAAAAAAAAAAAAACATTTCGGGGCCACACAGGGTCACATTATCACCCTGATGAAGGGACCCTGTGCGGCCCCGAAACGTTGTTTTTTTTTTATTTGTGACGTTATGTCCGATTAAATGGACGTCTACCATTTGAAAAATTACTTATTGAGTGCTGGTGATTACTGTTTTCTATTGTTGACCTTTACAATTGATCATTGTTGATCATTACAATGATTACATCATTGACCTATTGTTGATCATTACAATTTGGGCCGGGAACACTGTAAGGAGCCCAGAGGGACTTTCCATTTTCTATGTGGCACAATGTATCATGTTCAAGTAGCAATAGATAACTATATTTACTAGTTCTGTTTTACCGTATGCTTGTATGTGGACAAACAGGCATGCAGCTAAATACAATAGATCTAATGCAGCATTTCTAAACCTTTTTTTCAGCCATGGCACCATTTGAAAATATGCAAAACCTAGAGGCAGCCTAGTCTTAAATGTAAAAATATAACTGTAAAGAAACAATGTGTCGTCCCTCCAATATAGGAAGCTGGTATGGATTGTAATGGGGGATCCCATGCAAAAACATAGAAAATGAGGGATTCCCCCTTCAGAATCCCTCCTTTAACTTTAGTAGCTCTTTCACATCAGAGCCTCCTTTACATCTGGAGCCTCCCCCCTTTCACATCATAGTCACCCCCCTCTCACACTGGGAGTCCCTCTTTTACATCAAAGTCCCCCTCTTTCACATCATGACACTGTGTGAAAATTTTGAAGCACCCCTGAGATAGCCAAAAGGCACCCTTGCTGAGAAAGGGCAATCTGATAAAATACATGTTATATACCAGGGGTAGCCAAACTGTGGCCTTCTAGCTGTGTGGAACTACAAGTCCCATGAGGTATTGCAAGAATCTGACTGCCACAGGCATGACTCCCTGAGGCTGGTGCATGATGGGATTTGTTTGATCACTACAGCTGGAGAGCCGATGTTTGCCCACCTCTGTAATATACCATAATATTACATCATAGAATGTAAGAACAAGGGTTACAATGATTGTCTATGAGATGGGCGTACTCAACCACTATTGCTGCTGCCAATTATTGTACCAGCCCCTTACACACATTTTTTTTGTGTACAGTAAACCAACATTTCCTTTTGCTTTTACATCCTTTTCCTGTTATGTTGATTTTTAAAATTTTGGTATGCTTCTTAGGATTAAAAAAGGTGAAACTGTATCACATTATACAGTGGTACCTCAGTTCACGAACTTAATACGTTCCACGTTTCTGGTCGCTAACCGAATTGTTCGCGAACAGAAGCATTCGTGAACTAAGGCACCACTGTACTTATAAACTAGCAGCTCAAAGGCAGAATAGAAAAGCTGAATGTATTATGAGATCTGGACAATAAACTAATGCAACATTTAAAGTGTATCTATAGCCAACACTTTTTATAGTTTTGATAGAGTGGGGAAGGATTGGACTAGATCCCCTGTCAGGTTTTACTGCTAGTTTTACTCCAAAATTTCCCTTTGTTCACTGTCCTGGGGACAACCTTTTCACTAGGCAGGAAGGGAAGAAAACTCTCCAACAGCAACACAGACAGAAGTAAAAATATTTTTTTAAAGCTAAGTAAGGAAATTCTAGAACCCATGTCAGCTTTTTATTGTTGTCTGTTTCCCTGTTGCAGATTTCCCCTCACTTCTTGTGTGGTAAAATGTCCCCAGAACAGAAATCGAGGGGAAATCTCTCTAACAGAGCCCCTGATAGCAGTAAAACCTGACAGGTTCTAACTTTTACCCATTTTGTCTATGATTTTGACTATAGATACACTTGAATCATTTTTCTGATGGCATCATTACTTTAAACAAACCACTCGTGCCACAGGGGTATGCAAGCATGCTACCAGTTCCAGTGTCACTTGGTTCTAATGTTATGCATAAATTGTTATTTTAACACATAACTCACTGTTTATAGAATATGAAAATGCAGGACATACTCATAAATGGCAAGAGTCCCAAACATTGTGCCTTCTTTTTGAATATAAGTTGTATCATATTGAACTTATATTAAATAAATAAATCTTTATTCGTTTTTACGTCATGAAAAATTATATTTGTGTACCATAATGGGCTTATTTATTAATATAATGTGAAGACATTGGCCAAATACAAAGCAACTTTTAGAGGCTTGAATAAAACTGACCCCGTGTAACATGTACGTACATCTTACCTGTGGAGGGAACACATAATCCGCTACATCCCAGATCTCTGTTCCTAGATCTGGAAGATTGGTAACTGCTAATCCTTTTAATTTTATGGAGACTGAACTGATGATGTCATCTACATCTTGGTAGCCTTTTTCATACAAGAACACCCACCTAAATGTAAACATTAAGAAACCACCATTAGAATTTGAAAACATATTATAGAAGTACCACTCTCAAAACTTGGTTTAATACCCAAGGGAAATATTATTTGAGATATTTTATTACTTGATCCTTAAACTCCTTTTGTAAGCATATTTGCTCATTGTGTATTTTACTCTGTACACAATACCATCTGTATTTCATGTCAAATATCATTTACCTTACTACTATCCTGCTATCTAATGTTCTAGTGTCTGCTGACTGGGACAGAACTTATGCACTTTGCTTTTGTTTTAAGGGTAACTCCACTTTCAAAATATAAAAAAAACTTTTAAAAATGAATATAACATATTTAATTGTCGCACAAGCCATTTTGTAATTTAAGATTATTAAAAATTACCTATTCATTTAAAACCGTAGCTGCTGTAATAATCTAAATCTGTCGAAAATGCAATGCAATGTGGCAACCCGGAGGTGTTCCGTACACAGTTGGTGTATGGAATGCCCCCAGAAATGTCACTTCCTGCTTCTGTGATTTGCTGATTTTTCCCAGAAGTTTGCACTAAGATACAAGTATAATTTGTGGCATCACTTGGGTGGACTTTAGTGTTAGGGACACCAAGAGGACCTTGTAATTCTTTAAACACAGATCACGGACACATGGACACATTACTAAACAAAGCAATGCTTGTGTTTTCTTTGCAGGAAAACAAAATGTCCTTAAGGCTGGAGTTTCACAGAACGTAAAAATACGAAGCTTTTCTTATTCGGTGTCTAAGCTTGCCTTCAGCTGAGCCTTGTCAGTAAATATTATCCATTTGTTGACTTTACCAGCAGGACATCAAAGCACATCATGTTTAATCCCTGCCATAGATTGTGCAGCACACAGCTCTGTCTCTTGACTCTAGGACAATCTTTTGCAGAATGTTCTTCACAGGCCTTCAAATACAACAGTTTACTTACAATTTTCCAAACTCTTCAGCTTTGCACACAGATTAGCACTTTTTCATGTTATTACCCTGCAGTTCCATGACAGTCCCCCAAGTTAGACCTGTAACAAGGCTACAGATAATCATGGAATGCCTTAGTTAGATCCCTGTTTATCATATGTGTCACCATAGTATTGATTGAGCATGAGTTCCGAACCAAATGCACGAGATTTTTGATTGTACAATAGCAAAATGTATAGAATATTGCTTCAGAGAGTTTTATTACACTTTGCCTGGGTTATCTGTCTGGTTGTTCCCAATATTCGGTAAAAAGGTAGGAGGATCTGACCTACCAATACCACCTAAGTCAAATTCTGATATTCATCACCACTTCAAATAAATGATTAGACAAGGACAGAAAGTGGGGTTTTGAGAGCACCAGAGGAACTTACTCCACTAAGAGATTCATATAAAAGAGTTAATTTTAATTACATTCATTAAAAACAAGGGCTAGAAAACAATCCAATTAAAAACAGTTGATTAGATAGCTCCCTGTGCGCCCTCTCCATAAGTACCCCTGTCTGCGGCAGTTAGGCAGCGGTAGTAGATGTGGGTGGTGTGGGGGTAATCGGAGGACCTAATCTTGGAAGACAAACAGACAGAAACTCCTGCCTGGTCCATGCCTTTTCCGTTTTTCATCTCCTAAAACTGTGTGGCCATCAGCCTGAACGACCCAAACACCTTGTTGTTGGGGGACTACACAGGGGCGTAGCTCGACCAGATCCGCCCAGACACATATACACACCAGAGCACTTGAATTGATATCTCCTGTACCTGAAGAAGCGCCTGGGTGCGCGAAACGTCGTACCAGCTCCTCCATTTATGAACCTCTACCAACTCCATACAGCATTTAAGTTTCTTAGGAATCATTATCCCTTATCTTTGATTGTCTGTATTATCAGATTGTTTCCCAAACTATGTACATATTTTGCTATGCATTAACCATGCTGTAGGAAGGGTACTTATGGAGAGAGCGCACAGGGAGCTATCTAATCAACTGTTTTTAATTGGATTGTTTTCTAGCCCTTGTTTTTAATGAATGTAATTAAAATTAACTCTTTTATATGAATCTCTTAGTGGAGTAAGTTCCTCTGGTGCTCTCAAAACCCCACTTTCTGTCCTTGTCTAATCTAAATTCTCGGGGTGTGGCACCTACTATTCGGACCCAGATCGAAAACCATCGTTTATATCAAATAAATGATTGTTAAACACTGCCTGGCCAAAAACAATCACCACCTGGATTTTGCTAAGCAAACAGAGCCTTTCACTGGATAAGTGTTATGATCTGAGGTTGCCTCATTTGGTCAGGCTAGGTTCAGCAACGTTATCTTCCCAAAATATGAGGTCAGCTGCCTACCTGGACATACCCAATGACCCTGATGGCCCAGCTATATTGTAAAATGACAACACCAGGATTCATCGGGCTCAATTGTGAAAGAGCGGTTCAGGGAGCACGAGACATTATTTTTACACATAGATTGGCCACCACAGAGTCCAGACCTTAACCCCATTGAGAATCTTTGGATGTGCTGGAGAAAACTTTATTCAGTGATCTGACTCTCTAATCATTACTACAAGATCTTGGTGAAAAATTAATGTAACTTTGGTTGGGAATACATTTTTTAACATTGCATAAGCTTATAGAAATGATGCCACGGCGAATGCATGACATAATCAAAGTTAAAGGCGGTCCAATGAAATATTAGAGGGTGTGACTTTGTTTGGCCAGGCAGTGTAGATTACAGCTCTATGTATAGTTATTTAATACACAAGCTACACTGGGCATGTCTTACTCATGTTGAGCAGGTCTAGTTGCTTAGACTGCACTGTTTTAGGATGTCTCCTCACTCTCTCTGTACTAAAGCGATTGCTTTTCTGAAACGTGAAATACGTTTCTGGACACCTCTTCCGAAAATTCAGAGCTTAAAGAGTATGTCATGGCCAATAAAATAAAATGTATATAGTGCATCTCTGCAATACATGCACAATCCCAAGTTTAGTCCTTTGAAAAATGCAAGTACAGAAAAATACCTGATTAACCTGCCATAAATCTAGTGGCTTAGCTGAATTGAAATGCCACTTAGCGTTCTCAGTCCTACCTGCTTGTCTGGCAACCCTCTTTGTCCTCCTCCACATGCATGCACTGATTTCTTTCCTAGCCAAACAATGCTACTACCTTGAATCCCAGGAATCTGCCCACACACTATGTGTAGACAAAGGGCTCTTGGAAGATGTAGTTCTATTCATCTATTCTACGTACACAGACTGCACCAGATGTCAGGAAAATGTAAGTGGAAATCACATTTTGCCACAGAAATGTCATAGAAAGGACATTTCGTGCTTTTTCTGGCATCTCTTTTTGTGGGTGTTATGTATTGCACATAAACAGTAGTTCTTGAATGCTTTCCAACCCTACTATTTTTGTCCTGCCTTCGTTGGCAATTTGAAGAAACTGGCCCTTGAACACTACTGGTGACCTGAGGTTTCTGTATCCGTCAACAGACTATACTGTCAAGGGGAAGCACCAAAAGGATTCGCTGTTAGGATTATGTTAGTATTTTTTAAAGTGTCATACTTTAAAAAATCAAAAGGCTAAGGAAAAAATTAGAGGCCTTAATATACAGTGGAACAGTACATTCATTCAGAAATATTTCCAGATACAGCCATTTCCAGGGATCATATTAATAAATTGGCACTGTCCTTAGAGATTAGGAACAGCTGGGAAGTACCCGATTGCTTTTCAGATAACTATAACTTACATGACATTTAATTTCTATAACTGGCTACTGAAATATGACATACCATAAATGACACCCAACTCAACAAATGTACAAAAACTATTTGGCCCTGAGCATTCACACATTCCAGAAATGAACAGCTTTAGAAGGAAATAAACATGTTGCCCTTTGTCAATATATAAATGTGCCTGGCAGGATGTTCCTCCCCTTATTTGATTTGTGTTAATTATTTGCTCACAATAAAGTTAGTATAACAGATGGCCTGCGTACCAAAGCCAAAAAAAAAAAAAAGATTGTGTGATGTTTAAACTTGTTTTATGACAGCATTATAGGTGATATAAATGTTAGGTAATGAAAGTGTTTTACAACTACAAAAAAATCCTAGTCCCCAGCTCTCTGATTCACCTATAGTGTTTGTTACATTGCAGAGCATGATTGGCAGCATTGGAAAATGCATTCCAGAACTCATATTAGGCTGTATAGCCCATCTACAGGGAGAAAAGACAGCTTCACAAGGGGGTGTGATTACATTTTGCAGCTCCTCCCCGTTTACTTGCATTATTGGACTTTCAGCACATTATTGGATATTATAGAAGAACATGGCTTACACACTTATCAAAATGTCCCATTAGGTAGAAATTTATTGGAACTTGATATCTTGTACTGCATCAGAGTACCTAAGCTTCTGGGTACACAGCATTCTGCCACCAGCTACCCATACTTGACTCTAGCATCAACAGGTACTAGTACTAAAGGGTATATCCAGGCATTACCAAACTTTACCCCAAACCTCCCTCTTCCCCTCTAGGGCAGCCTTCTTTATCCAGGATTCCTTGGCACCCTGGGGTGCCTTAGTATTTTCACACAGTGTCATGCCTTCCCATGGTGCAGACAGGCTGCCCACCATCACTATGGAAATGAAGGATGCTAATCAAGGAATGGTGGATCCATTTAGAAAAGGCCAGAGGTTTGCCTCCATTCAGACTTGCTCTGACTCCTACCCTCTGCCATGCTGCCGCAGTTGTGACTTCTGATGGGATAGAAGGGCTCTAATGCAAAGGATGTCCGAGGAATCTAATGTGAAGGGGGTTCCTGATGTGCAGTGGAAACTCTAATGTGAAAGGGGGGAACTCTGATATGAAAGGACTGGTTATATCTCCATTGTACACCATACCGATGTTCCCCTTGTTATTTGGGTGCTGGAACAACTGGTGAATGGTGTCATATCAAACTAATAAAAAATATGTTGTCTGTACACCTTAGGCTTCAGAATTCCATCTTTATT